TGGTGATAATGTGTTGCCAGTAATAACTTTTTCGTCAAAAATTTATTGCTGTTAATAATTGTTTGCAAAAATGTATGCCTCGTATTAAAACCCATTTTTACACTTTCATAGTGTTTTGACCCCAGTTTTGGGGTTAACTACTTGCCCATAGCTGCGAAGCTAACGGATACTACCACCTCAGGTCATGGTGGGTTGCTTTTTTTTTGTTTTACGGCATATCAAACTCAATGGCTCATTTAATGGCGACAAGATGTTTGTTGATGGCAATATTTTTTTTTCTAAAAATGTATTGCTGGTAATATTTTTCTTTTTAAAGCTTTTAATAATGTATTTCAGGGAATAAATTTTTCTTCAAAAATGTATTGTTCGTAACAATTTTTCCTAAAAAAGTATTGCTGTTATTAAAACCTATTTTTATACTTTCATAGTGTTTTGACCACTTTTTTTGGGGGGGGGGTAACTATTTACCCATAGCTGGGACCCTAACAGGTGCTACCACCCCGGGTCAGGGTGGACCTGGGAACACCAGCATTTAAGAGGTGATTCCATGCTCTTCAAAACCTCCTGATCAAAGGCCTTGCTGTAGGATGTAGTTTATCGTCATACCCAAGGCGTGGATGTAGTTTATCGTCATACCCAAGGCGTGGATGTAGTTTATCGTCTTACCCAGGACGGAAGAAACGAGTAAAGAAACAAAATATTTTGCCCTATAAGCTCAAGATGCAGTAGTCTGCAATGAAGCAAATCCAAAAATTTAAATAGCTAGGAAGTATTTTAATAGAGGACGGGAAATGTGACACCGAAATCCGAAGGAGCATTGGAAATTGTAGAGAGCTATAATCGCCAACGTCCTGAAGAGACATTGAACACAGAAGTATCAGCTTGAGTAAATGGATGTCAGAACAAGATTTAGGAGGGATAACAAAAAGAGAAAATTGATTGAGAGCTACAAAGGTCTAGAAATTGTGGAGAGCCATGATCAATAACGTCCTGAAGTGACATGGAACATAGAAGTAGAATAAGTACGATCTTGAGTAAATGGATGGTGGAACAAGGTTTAGGAGAGATAGCAAAAAGTCAAATTTATTAAGAGTTACAAAGGTCTGGAAATTGTGGAGAGCCATTATCGCTAACGTCATACTTGTTACTATTAGTCATTAGTTTGAGTACAAGTTATGAAAATACGCACTTTTATTGATCTTTTTTATGGATTTTCGTTTAAGCAAAATTTAAATTGTTTCCCTTTAAATTCAAAACAACCAATTATTTCTCTTGCTTTGTCTTTGAGTGTCTCGCAGAAAGATCGTGAGTTCAAGAATTCCCAATGATACTGACTAAACGTCTCGCAAACAGTAATAGTTGGCATTAGGCCAGTGGGAAAATTCGCAAGTCCATTGCCCAGACAGTCAGGCCAATTAGATAGGCCAGTAGAAACTTCGATTCTGATGGACTTGTTTATACTTGATTATATGAATGAAAAGACGAGGCGAACTTTATTATCGTCCGCTAAGTTGGCGATTGTAAAAAGAGAATAAAAAATGAATAAAATAAAACAAAGTGAAACGCCATTAATAATTTTGATGCGTCTCGGATAAGTATCCAGTTTGTTTCATAGAGAAATATAAGTAAAAAAAAACAAAAAAAAAACAAAAAAAAATAAGACATTAACACACGGTTCTATAATTGCACACCCTTTCACACACGAATTGAAACTTTTTTCTCACCCTCACAGGCACACAGTCCATCCTGGGTATGACGATATGTCTGGTTTGTTGTGCTCCACTTTTTATTATTATTATTATTATTTTTATTATTATTAATAATAGTAGTAGTAGTAGTACATAGTTGTAATACTACTACTACTATTAACATCGCAGTAATATCTGTTTAGCGTCCTGGGTAAGACGATAAACTACATCCGCATCCTGGCTAAGACGATAAAATATAACCGCGTCCTAGGTAACACGAGAAACTACATACGCGTACTGGGTAACACGATAAACTACGTCCAACAGAAAGGCTTCTAATCAGGAGGTTTTGAGGAGCGTGGAACCACCTCTTCGTTGCTTGTGTTCCCAGGTTCACCGTGACCCGGGACTGGTAGACCCTGTTAGGGTCTCATTTATGGGTAAATAATTAACCCCCAAACTGGGGTCAAGTCACTATGAAAGTATAAATATAGATTTGAATCCCAGAAATACTCTGTAAAAAATTATTACCAGCAATACATTTTTGAAAAAAAATATTGCCAGCAATAAAAATCTTGTAGGCTTGAAATAACACATAGAGGTTGATAAGCCGTAAAATAAACCAAACCCACAGTTTGTGAGGTAAGTTTTAGTCTGTTTGATCATTACTATTTAGTAAGTTAGTTCGATCCTCACTGGGGTATGCCCCATAGAAAATTCAACGTCAAATCAACCTTCCATCAGATGCTAACCTCCAGGTCAGTGACTCGTTCGCCTCCTCGAGCTAACACTTTTGGCCGGCATGAAGTGGAAAGAACATATTGAATCCATCCCTAGGTCAGCTGCTAAGAAAGTTGGTTCACCGTGTCAGGGAGACAATTTTTTTCTCACTTGAATCTATCTTACATATCTATAAGTCTACCATTCGCCATGTTTAGGATATTGCTGCCGCATATGATCCGGTTCTCCTGTTATATATTTAGAGATTCTTGATAAAATCCAAAGAAGAATCAGCAATATTATTGGTCCAGGGTGTTTCTGCTAGCTTACTCACCAGCCTTCAGAACAAAGCTCACCAGATTTGGGCTAATACAAATTCTCTTTTGATCAGAGGTTAAAATTGGCATGTCTATGGAATTTAATAAGGTGGTGTATTTCAGTTGAATGTGCGTATTCAGTATTTAAAAAAAGAAGATAGATGCATTCAAAACCTTGAGATTTTGCTATCTTTTTATGGTGACCGTAGTAGAACGAAGTTCTCAGTCTCTCCTGGGTATGTTTTCTTTTTTAGTTCAGAAGTAAGTTAGGATAACAATGGTTGAGATGGTCGAGATCAAGTTAGGTTTGCGCTGAGTTGGGATGAATTATTCATTTACTTCACGCGTAGGACTGCCAAAACACGTCCAAACTGTGTCGTTAAAAGTGGTAAAGAAAGTTCAGTCGTCATTGGGCCGGGGAATCTAATGTTTATCAGCGGGAACGTAATTACCACATGATAATATATTTTGAAGCATGGAGGAGAAGAAAGGCTTCAGCAACGTTTTAGGAAACCAGGTGGGGCAATGATATTCCCGGTTTTTTTTTTACTCGGGGAAAATGTTATGT